TAAATGCAATGCTGTCTAGACTAACGAAAGTCTCCAAACGAGTAGAACGAAGTTTAAAATCACGAAAACAAGGCACAAAGGAAAACAAAGAGGCGACCAAGAATAACGCAGAAGGAAAGATATCAAAGAAATTTCTATTAATACAACTCTTTCCATTCTTTACTTCCTCTCCTCGTTTGTGACTTTATTTTTATATGCCGCTCTGCAACGCTGCATCCTCCCGCCGTTCAGTAATGTTTCAATCCGTCCGCCATATTCCCTGCATGGCCCAGTCAGTGTGTTCGAAACCATGGCGTGGATTTCTGCTGATGCTTGCCGGTTGCTTCCTGACGCTGAATCTGCTCTTCGGAAATGGCCTTGACATCAGTGGCCAAGTAAGGGGCCAAGTTCGCAGCCAGTTTCGCCCAATTTCGCCTGTTCGCGGGGATAGAGGTTGGTGTTGGATAGAGACAGACAGTATGTGTGTGAAGGGATTTGTGCTGGGAACGAGATAGAGTGTGCGGGAACGAGGGAGAAAAGGTAAGGGAAAGAGCAAGAGAATGTGCGAGGAAAAAAAGAGAAAGAGCAAGAAAATATGCGAGAATGAGAGTGAGAGCACGAGGGAGAAAGAGTGAGGACAATAGGAAGAAAATGAGTGATATCGAGAGCAAGAGGAAATAAGGGCGAGAAAAAGAGTAAGAGAAAAGACGAGAAAGCAATCAATAAATTAGCTTCAAAGATAACGATAGAACTAGGGAGAGAGAGAAAAAATCAGTTCAGTTAGATTTGCGGTCATGCTTCGCCCGGGCCTTTCTCTAGAGTGGCCTGGCCTGTGTCAACTATTTCTAGTTAACATGTGTTTTCTTTGAACTGTATCGGGGTGGCTGAATTGCGAGCAAGCGATCCAACTGCCACGGAGTAAGCATGTGGCAAACCCCTTTTACCAGCCCGGCGTCTGTGGTGGGTGGTCCCTGTCTTAGAAATTGTGGGTGTTCATAATTCTGCATGTAACAGGGTGGCGTTAGTGTTTGCATAACCTGGCAGTCTCGTCATCAACAATTTGCCAAGCGCATGGGTAACTTAGTCTTAATATGTGCAGTATGACTTCGGTATGTCTTTTTGTATTTGGAGGAAGGAGTAGTAGCTCATAGCCTGTAGCATCTGAGTACCACTTGCCAGCGAGCGAATTTATGGTATTTTCTCTATGTGCTCCCCAGAGGACTGCACACACTGTAGCTTTATTAGAGCTCTCTCAACTGATTCATCATTACTGAATGCTTACTCTAATGGACCGGGTTACCTGTAGGTGCTCCAACCTCTACAACAGAAGCAAGAAAAAAAATGTCAGCAATGCAATACTTGGGAGTAGGATAAAACGCACCACATCGGTCTGCACGGGCAATGGTGTTGATAATTTGTCATATACAGTGAAAATAGTCTCATTCTGTGAAAAATTGCTTTGGCATTTCTCAATATTGATGCAGAGACTGCTAGTATATCGGAGCCTGCGGGATGTGAACTAGACAGACAGAGAGCGGGAGAGAGAATGTACAAGGAGAGTGATGGAGAGAGAGAAAACAAAGTGAGAATGGGATTACGAGGGAGAGAACCCGAGAAACCGAGATGAAGAGAGAGAGAAAGATCGAGAGAAAACGAGAAAAGGGGAGAGAAAGAAAACCAGAGAGAGAGAGAGAGAGGAGAACAAGGAATAAAAATAGAGCGAGAGAAACAGCGAAAGAGAAGGGTAGCGAGGAGCGTGAAAAATTATCAAATTTTAACAATCTACATGTTAAGATATTGAACACCCCTGTAGAACAGCCATCCAAGATATCGTTCTTTCTGCTATATGTTCATACTTGCATGTATAGGTGCATGTGGACAGGGCATGCATACACATAAATATATACGTTTATGTGGAGATAGCAAAGGCATATCGATATAGATATATTCGTACAGATATTTGCAACGGACGGACACCAAGTAGATATGGAATTTACTTATCGTAGAATCATTTTTAACTCATAGATTTATTAGGTAATGTTTTGACTCTTAGTTGACTTTAGAAACGATTTTTTTCTTGTTGGGAATGTGGTAATGAAGATAATGAGAATTATCGTAGCATTGGTGTGAATAACGGTGATAATCCTGATAGGAAGATATTGATAAGAAAAGACAGATAATTAGCACAACGATAGTGAAATGAGTGTTTACCATAATTGCCAGTATCATTTACGTCAATACAAATAGTATCACCGTCATTTTAACCATTGCAATAAGCCTTAACGATGATGATATTGATAAATAAAATCACCAAAGTTAGCTTCTCTTCGCCTGCATAATTATCATCAATAATCGAGAGTGAAAAGTTCATCTTTTCGTTCCAATTATGATCATGAAATATATCATAACGATATTCATATAAAAATATATATAACTGCTTTGCCCTTTCATAATCACAACCTCAGACCAATCCCAGAATCGACGACCAAACGCTAACTAATCCTTCAAATCCTAATCCTATCGCTCCAATCTCCCCCCCCCCCAAAAAAAAAAAAGGTACTTCGAAAATCCAGTCGGAGGACGCTACCAAGACTGGAAAATCCGCCTCGCAGGACCCCTCGAGGCTGAGGACCCGAGAGTGATAGCGTGGGTCAAGGAGGAGCACCTACATCCTCCTTCAGACCTGCCTTATAACCTCGACCTCGGGAAGAATGTCGACTTCACGAGGCTTCAGTACTGGCAGAGGGTTCACCAGGGAATTCTGGATGTGCTACGGGGCAAGGTGAGTAGGGAAGGGAGGGAGGGGAGAGAAGGGGGTAGGGGTAGAGGGATGGAGGAAAGGGAGAGAGGAGGAGGGAAGATGGGGGAGGTGGAAGGGAGGGAAAGAGAAAGAGGAAAGGGGGGAGAGGGGAGAGGGATGGAGGAAGGGGCAGGGAAGATGAAGGCGGAGGGAGAGAGATGGGAAGATGGGCGGAGGTGGAAGGGAGGGAAAGAGAAAGAGGGAAGGGAGGAGAGGCGAGAGGTAAGGAGAGAAAGAGGGAGAAGAGAGGGAGGGGAAATGGAGGAGAGAGAGGGGGAAGAAAAAGGGTGGTAGGGGATGAGACAGGAAGACAAGGGGACATGGAAAGAAAGCGATAGGAAGAAAGAGGGAGAGATAGAGATAGAGACAGAAAGAGAAAGAAAAATACCAATTAACCATGAATAATAATGCACTCGCTCATTTCCGGATATGTTTCCAACGCCTCTCACTGATTCCCGTCCCTTCCAGCGCGGCGGCTTCTTCCTGGAGGCGGGGGCGCTGGACGGCTACTACCAGTCCAACACGTTCTTCCTGGAGAGGGACCTGGGCTGGACCGGCCTCCTGGTGGAGCCCAACCCCGTGTTCTTCGAGTCGCTCCTCACGCGCCACAGGAGGGCGTGGGCCACGGACCTCTGCCTCGGCACCAAGCCTTACCCAGTGAAGGTGATTCGGAGGTTTGGCAATACTCTCTTTGAAAAAAAAGATATGTTTGACTCCGTTGATGTACGTTAATGCAACGCTGTGAGGATGGTTCAGTGATTTAGTAATAATATCTTTTTTTAAATACTTCCAGTTCAGATGAGTGTGAATTTATTTTTTGGCTCATTTATAGGAGTTTTACTGAATGCTTTGTGCACATATATGTGTATATATAATATGTATATAAATGTGTGTGTGTGTGTGGGTATATATTATATACATATAAACAGCATATATAAGAATGGCATGGGATAAATTCGCCTTCCCAGTCACGCATGATCTGTAGGTACAATACATTGCCACATTAACCACCCTCTTAACTTTGACTCATTAACCACCCTCCTACTAAGACTCTCGGTGTCCCTTCTAGACAGAGTTCTGGGTCCACACGGGCGCTGACCCCTGGCAGAGTCTCATCGCAGCGTCCCGAAGTGGTCTTCTGAAGGAACACCTGGAGAACTACGTAAGGACACGATCCCACTTTCGGATGGCAGTAGTCGGGTTGGTGCGAGTTCCGGTGGGAGAGAGGGAGGGAGGGAGAGAGGGAGGTAGGGAGCGAGAGAGAAAATAAGAGAGGAGAGGAGGGAAGTAGTGAACGAGAGAGAATTTTGATTTGATGAACTATATATATAGAGAGAGATGTGTGTGTGTGAGAGAGTGAGTGAGTGTGCGTGTGTGTGTGTGTGTGTGTGTGTTAGAGAGAGAGAGAGGGGAAAGGGGGAGGTGAAAGAGGGAGGAGAGAGAGACTGATAACGAGAAAGAAAGAAGTTGAGAGAGAAATCGATGGTGAAAAAATTCCTTCCCCATATCCTACCAAACCTTTCTTTCCCATGTCCTAGCAAAATGGAGGACTCGACAGCGGCTCAGTGGTGGAGGTCAACTGCGTGCCTGCCATCAGCATTCTCTCCGCCCTCAACGTGACCCAGATCGACCTGTTTTCCCTCGACATCGAGAACGCCGAAGTGCCCGTCTTGCAGTGGTTCCCGTTCGACAGGGTGCACGTCGAGGTCAGATCCGTTGACGGCTCCTGTGTTGACTATATATAGAAATATTTTTTTTTCAGACAAAGGATAGGGGGTATAGTGTGTCGTCTGTCCTACATAGAGATAACAGGCGTACCCTGTTATACAGAGATATTACATGTAGATAATAGACGTGCCTTGTTCCTTCTAGATAACAAACGTGCCCTGTTACATATAACTAACAAACGTGATCTTTTCCATGAATAACTGTGTCCTGTTTACATGAAGACAGACTGTGCAAAACTTACATTGTGCTAGATTATCCAAAGGCTCCCAAGGAACTGTTTGCACCTCAACTCCTCCCGCAGGTGCTGGTGGTGGAGCACTGGACGTCAGGAGACCCAGAGGACAGCCAGGCCTTCGTGCGTCTGGTGGAGAGCAAGGGCTTCTCCTTCTACCGGAGGGACAACCACGACTACTTCTTCCTCCACCAGCATCCGAGATGGGTCCTCGCCCGCCCTGGAGACGAGGGCGCTGTCGATAACTTGGCGCCTTATGAACCACTGATAGGACATAAATGATAATTGTCTCTCTCTCTCTCTCTCTCTCTCTCTCTCTCTCTCTCTCTCTCTCTCTCTCTCTCTCTCTCTCTCTCGGGTAGGCCAAATGCATACGCCGTGGCAGCTGGATCGCTTGCTTGCAATCCAGCCTCCGCGCTAAGCATACAGCTCAAAGAAAACATGAGTCAACTAGAAAAAGTTAACACAGGCCGAGCCACCCTAGAGAAAAGTCCCGGGCGAAGCTGAACTGAACTGAATCCCTCTCTCTGTCATCCTCTCCTGAGCTTGGAGGGAATCACAATAGATAAAAACGGTAAGGCTTATTATGATTATCTCCAAATCATCAATGATCCCATACACCTATTATGCCCTTTGAAAAGACTCATTTTCATGTGTATTTGTATTGGTATTCTACTGATGGGTAATCAGTTGTCAGAAGTCGTGGTACTCTGTATTTTTTTGCCATCCGCTAACAAATAGATTAACAATAAATCTGTTCCTGATATTACTAGTTACATAGGCAATAAAGGCTGTAACCAGATATTTGAGTAAATTGTATATTGAATGTATAATGTATAATATTGAATTTCAGTGTTTATAGTGATGTATAAAAAGCTGTGCCTTTATTGAGCATATAACTTTGATAATAAGAAAACGCAGTCTTTAGTATATAGATTTTCCTAAAGAAATTACATATGCCAGTCAAGTAAAGCGATGATCGTCTCTGTTTACAACCGACCGGCAGATTGTTGTTGGTTGGCGGTTAAGACGGACGTGCTTTGTGTAGTGTTCAGGATTTTAGCCAGTTATTGGTTCTTTTTGAAGATTTGGAATTTGAGTGTATGCTCAAGGTAGTCTTACAATAATAAACTGCATTTTGTATATTCTAGCCACAAGTCAAGGTATTATCATGGCTACTGATAAGTTTTATGATAAACCTAGACTCATCGCCTGATTGTTTTGTTATTGTTCTAATATTTCTTTCTTGTAAATGTGTATTGGTGGTGATTTTACTGAATTGATTAACCATTATTAAATTTTCGACTTTCTATGTAAATTTAATTTAACCTTGGCAGTTACCTATTTCCATCATTCTCTGTAACAAGAGTATTGATTAAATTTTGAAGTAACCTGTTTGAAAACCCTTTTAAAGGTCTGAATGTGATTTTGTTACAAATTATGAATGATATTGAGAAATAAGTTCTTAAAGTAAACCCAATATTGAGAATGTGACATTAAAACCTTGGAGTTTTGCTTTGTACTTATTCTTAGTACTATAATATTCAGTTATCACAGAGGTTACTGTCACACTCATTACCTAGGCGGCAAATTAGATTGTATATCTCTGTACAATCCACACACTCCCAAGCACTGCGAAAGTTGTCCCGTTGTTAGCCAGTGATCATTGGGCATTATTGCTCTCCTATTTGCAAAAAGAAGCCCAACCCAGCCACTAACATGGCACATGGAAGCAGATTTAATTAGAACATGTCGGTACGGCAGCTACCAGAAGGTCCGTGCATGCACACACATACACACATACCCTCTCTCTCTCTCAAACATACATACATAGATATGTGCGTGTATATATATATATATATATATATATATATATATATATATATATATTATATATATATATATATATATATATATATATATATATATATAAAATATCATTCTACATATCTGTCCCTGGCTGAAATAAAGGCTGTGCTTTTCTGTCGAAGTCTTCCTGGGTCTACATTCACTAAAGGAAGCAACTGCTTTGCACCTTCCACACCCAAGACGAACTGACCCAATATGAATGCCTTCCGGGCGACCTAAATCTCCACCTCGAGCAAGCCCTGTGAAGTCACCCCCCTTTGTCACGGATAAATGAATCTCGCACTCCAGTGGGCAGGAGCAAGCACCTGCCTCAAGTGGAGCCATCGCATACAAAGACACATCTCGTCAGACAGAGAGGAGGATGGAGACGACAGACAGACCAAGACACAGGGTCTAGCTCATCACCACTCCGCCCTGGCACCCGGGGAGTCTCTTGGGGGTCATACATCTACATTTAACAATAAAACAAGACAAGACCCCTCTCATTCACCTGCACTAAGGCCAACCTCTCTTTCGCATCTGTTGGCAAGCAGTGGTCGAACCTCACGATCTCGATTCCCTGACGCTCTATTGCCGATCGACGTTCCTGTCGAAGTCCCTCCCTCGCCGTTCTACTCTGCACTGTAATAAAGTGGCGGATGTTGCTTCCCCGTTTGCACATGAGTTAACTAGAAATAGTTGACACTGGCCGGGCCACTCTAGAGAAAAGGCCTGGGTGAAGCATCTCTTCGCAATCTAACTGAACTGAATCCCCGTTTTATGATTTGGCGCGGTAAGGCACTTGATTTGCATTGTTAAGTCATTGGGTTGGTGTTGTACGGGAGGATGGTGCGAAGTATGTTTAGGTTTCATGTTAAAACTTTCAGGATTGAGCTCGGTTGCAGTCCGGCGA